CATTGGGGTGGCGATTGCACTCGAGAAGGCGCTTGGCGGCTACAAGTACCCAGGCTGGGCTGTGCTGAAGGAGCACGCACGCGGCCGACGTGGGGCGCCGCGAAGGTTGAAGTGATTGCAAGCAAAACGACTGCACAGAACAAGTCTTCGGCGGCACACATACACACATACAGACATACATACATACATACATACAGAAATACATACAGACATACATACACACATGCACACGCAACACGCCTTCATGCGAATAAGAAGATTATATATATATAACTATGCTAATGCACTATGTGGTGTTTGGCCGGGGACGGGGGAGGGGGGGGGGGCAAAAAAGCGTGCATGCGGTAGAGGATTCACAAGGGAGGGGGAAGCTGCCATGAAGAGAGGGACAACAATCGAAGGAAAATAATCGTAACAATAATAATAATAATAATAATAATATATGAAAAGAAATAACGGTAAGTAGCTGAAATGTTTGCTACGTTTTTTTTTCTTTTTATTTATTTAGCGTTCTTTTTGTTAGGTTAACCCTGTTGTTTGCTGGGTTCCTGAGCGAAGAGCGGCCGCAATGCCAGGGAGGGAGCGAGGGAGGGAGGGAGGGCCAATGAGTGCCCAGTGCACCGCCACTGCCACACAACCTTTTTTTTTTCTTTTTTGTTTGCAATACGCCCCTCCCGATGCACACGGGGAGAAGGAGGAAGGGATGCGTTTGTATGCGTAAGTAAGTTAGCACGCATCTGTTGTGTGTGTGTGTGTGGCTTTCCTTCTCTAATGCGCATACGTATATACATACATACGTATGCGTTTTGTGTTGTACGTATCTTGCCTTTTTCTTTTTTTTGTCTTGAGTTGCATGCATACGTGCTTACACGTATTTCTGTGTGTCTGCATGCGTGTATGTATACGGTCACGTCGCTGATAGCTTGCTGCGCGTGCACCTCACCTGTACCTCTTGCCTTTTGCCATTTCTCCTCCCCCTCCCTCCTCCCTTCTGCGCCTACACGTACTTGTTTCGTCTGGCCTGCTTCGCTCAGTTCGTGGCTGTCCAGTGAAATACACCGGCCAACTGTATTGCCCTTTTTCTTGATGTCTGCCCGCGGAAAAGTCGCACCAACACACAAACTTCCACGTCTCCCTTTCCCCAAGGAAATAAGAAAAAGAATAAAAAGGGAAAAGGGAAGGGCGAACACAAACACCACAAAGGCAAGTGAAGTCACGGCACCGAGCTCCAGGTGGTTGTGTGTGCGTCAGTGGTAAACTTCCCTTCCCCACATCCCCTTCCATCCGGCCAGCAGCAGGCGCAACAGAAGGTGCGGAGCGTCCCAAGTGACACAGGGGTGTAACGCAGTGCGGCAGCAGCAGCTGGAGCGGCAGTAGTGGCGGTCCATCAACGAAGACATCAGCGGAATTGAACCCGGCTTGTAGGACAACACCATGTCGCTCATCACTGCCTTTCCGTTCCACGCATATGTTGGCGATCTTAAGACACGCCGCGTGATGCAGGAGAAGGTGGCTGTCTCCCTTTCTCTGCTCACGCCAGATGACATGGTCCGCATGGCTTTTGTTGAGGTGCGCACGCGGTGCGGGCAGGAGGAGAAGGCCGCTCCATGGCGGCCTGTGGCTCGAAACGGCGAGGAACACGCCACCTTTTACGACCTGCGAATGGGAAACTTTGACGTGCGCACGTTTCCGCCCCACTCCTGCCAGACGTGCGCCGCAAGTATCACGGGGAAGTACGGCAACGAGCGCTGCCAAGGGCACTTTGGGTTTGTTGGCATGCCGCGTCTGCACCCAGGTGACCCGCTGCAGAGCGGGGTACGCCTGTTTGTCATGAACCCACACCTAGTGGAGGAGGTTGAGCAGCTGCTGCAGGCGAAGTGTTTCTTCTGCCATAGGTTTCGTGCCCCGCTCTTTGACGTGGAACGCTACCGCCAGGCGCTGCGACTGATTGATCACGGACTTATTGGGGAGGCGTTGCACCTGCTGGATGTCGTCAGCAACGCACGGGGATACGACACGCGACACCGGCGGATGCACACGGCAAACGAAGAGGTCGTTAACGACGTCACGCTGCTGGACGAGCACACGGAACGTATTCTGCAGCGCTGCACACCCGCGTCTGCCTCGGAGAAGACGCAATCGTCCCCCGAAGTCACTGGGGGACGAGGGGCGATCGATGTACGCAACGGCATTGTTCGGCAGGCGCTTCGAGAGCTTAAGGAGTACGTGAATGTTTGCTCGCACTGCAACGGCATCTCTCCACGCGTCACGAAGCGAAACGGGCATTTCTTCTTTTTTTTTGCGAGGAACAGTGCGTCAGTGAATGTGGCGAACGCCCTCCTCTCACAGGCCCAGTTGCGGGAGTGGGAGGAAAATAACAAGTTGCATAAGAGAAGTCATACGTACTTCCGCAATCAACACATCCGCGAGCATCTGCAGCAGCTCTGCCAGCGTGAGGAACTCCTCCTGAGCCTGCTGTTTCCACACCTCGGGGAACCCTCCGTGGGGACCTCGTACGCTACCCCACTCCCCGCACGGGACATGTACAAGGTTTTCTTCCTGGACCGCATCCTCGTCCCGCCGCTGCCGCTGCGCCTCTCCTCCGGGGTGCAGGTGCAGGATGGCGGCGCCATCTCTCCAGATACGCAGACGCGTGCCCTCTCCGACATCCTTGGCTTTGTGGAGCAAATTGAGTGCTATCAGGTGCTGCGGGACAACTCCACGCCGGACCACAACCTCCTCACCACCGCCCAGGAGATTGCGAACGAGATCAACCTACGCAACCTGCAGGTGAAGGTGAACGAGGTGTACCAGGACATTATGGGCACCTTTGCCAAGAAGGAGGGTTTGTTTCGCATGAACATGATGGGGAAACGTGTGAATCAGGCCTGTCGCTCTGTCATCTCCCCGGATTTACTGGTGGAGCCAAACGAAGTCCTGCTGCCTCGACCATTTGCTCGAAGCCTCTCCTTCCCTGAACAGGTGACATGCTACGCCCCTGCCCGTATGAGTCTCCTTAAGCGGTGTGTCACCAATGGCCCACGTCGCTACCCCGGTGCTACTCATCTGGAGATACGGCACACGAACGGAGAAATTCGCTTTATTGAACTTGATGTGCCAGAGCAAACCCGGCGGCAGCACGCTGCCAAGTATTTTGCCATGGCGCAGAGCGGTGTTACGCTGATTGTCTATCGCCATATCTTGGACGGGGATCGGGTGGTGTTTAACCGTCAGCCAACGCTGCACAAGGCGAGTATGATGGGGTACCGCGTCAAGGTGCTCTCTGGACACAAGACATTGCGCTTTCACTACGTGAATGGCAGCTCCTTTAACGCCGACTTTGACGGAGATGAGATGAACGTTCACGTCCCGCAGAGCCTTGAGGCCAAGGCGGAATTGGATGGCCTGATGGATGCCAACCTCAACTACCTCATCCCCACCTCAGGGAAGCCGATTCGTGGGCTTATCCAGGACCACGTCGCGGCAGGTGTCATGCTAACATTACGTGACAAGTTTCTCGAGCATGCGAACTTTGTTCAGCTGGTTTATTATGGCCTGGCACCCTACCTGCGACAGCAGAACGACGTTACACTGTCGGATCTCATTCCTGTACCAGCGATTCTGCTGCCTCGACCACTGTGGACGGGGAAACAGTTGATTTCCGTCGTCATTCGTTACGTAAGTGGTGTAGGGCGTCGACCGAGGTGGATGCGCGTCAACGGTGGAGGGGCTTCCCTGCGGGGAACCTCCCTTATTCAGCCGAGTGTCTATAATCACACAATTCCGGGGTCTGATGTTGTGCAGACGGTGACGCGTCAAACGATGGACGATGACGCATTGATCTTTATGAATAGCGAGCTGTTGATGGGACTCATGTGTAAGAAGCAACTCGGTGCCTCTAACATGTCAATTGCTCACGTTGTGCATGAGTTGTATGGACCACACAAGGTGGGACAGCTGTTTGGAGCTCTGGGACGCATTCTCTCACAAAGCCTCCAACGCGAAGGGTTTTCTATTGGGATGGATGATATGTGTCTGGTTCAGGAGGAGCGTCGCTACCAGATGCTGCGGCAACTGGACGAGGCTCCGCTGCACCTCCCCGATGACGAGGCAGCTGCCATGACGAAGATTATGGAATATGCCACGAAGCTGCAGCAGGAGTTTATCCCGGGTCGTATGGTGGTGCCATTTCCCCGCAATCACCTGCTCATGATGACCACCTCTGGCGCCAAGGGAAGTAACGCCAATGCAACCCAGATGGCGCTTGGTCTCGGCCAGCAACTCTTCGACGGACGACGCGTAAAGCGTATGAATTCGGCCAAAACGTTACCTGCTTTTTTTGCCCATGAGCGCCGAGCCCGTTCCTTTGGTTATGCGATTGGACGCTTTGCCTCAGGCATTCGACCACCCGAGTACACGATCCATGCTATGGCCGGTCGTGACGGCCTTATTGATACCGCAGTCAAGACGTCCCGCTCGGGGCACCTGCAGCGTTGCCTTATCAAAGGCCTTGAAAGCCTTGTGGTGCACTGGGACCACTCCGTGCGTGACTCAAATGACAGCATCGTGCAGTTTACGTACGGAGGGGACGGTCTTGACCCGTGCAAGGCCTCCACCCTCACCTCGTGGGAGACATCGAAGGAAAACCTCACGGACTTCGGCAAACGGTTTGGTGTGGACACGGGTGAAGCGGCCAGCGAGACACGGCGACCGGAGCCGGGTGACGAGGTGGAGATGCCTACGAGAGTGCAGCGTGGTAAACGACCACGCACGAGTGTGAATCTCAACAAGTGGAGTAACACAAACACCAATAATCTTAATAATAGTAATAACAACAATACCGACGAGGAGGAGGACGAAGACGACGAGGAGACAGAAGAACGCACACACAACAGTAATCGTAATAACAACAACAATCAAGAGCAAGCACGACAGTTGCATCGGGAGCAGCAGTTACGTGAGAATCCACTCCCGCGCCACATCCATGACAGTCTTGAGGACTACTTGCGCACCAAGGCGACATTTCCACTCTTTCAGCGCGTCTCACAGTTGGCACGGTGGAAGGCGCAGGGGCGTGTAAATGAGAAACTCGCGGAGAAGCGTGGGGATAATATTGCGTACTACCGTGACGTTCTCTCAGAGCTTGCCACTAGCAGACGCGTACGAGCCTTTTGTGATCCTGGCGAACCTGTCGGTCTTCTTGCGGCGCAGGCCGCCGGTGAGCCCTCCACGCAAATGACCCTCAACACATTCCACAGTGCCGGCTCAACGGTGACGCACGTGACGGAAGGTATTCCGCGTCTCCGTGAGCTGCTTATTCACGCTTCTGTTCAAAACGCTGCGGTGGTTGTACCCGTAGAAAGGGCGACGCCAGCTGACGAGGCTGCCATTGCACGCATACTGCGTGCCGGTGTGGCGACACGGCTGCGGGACTGTCTTGCGCGGGGCGGCATGGGCGGCTTGGGTGGCAAAGGGTACCACTACCACGTGGTACGTGGCAAGGATGCGTCTGTGGTGACACTTGCCTTGCTTTTTTCACGGTCCCACCTGGACGATAGCCGGGCACGCATGTGCATGTCGCCGAGTGAGCACCTGCAGTCTTTCACGGAGGCGTTGCGACAGTTCGCAAAGCGCATCATCAGGGCGCTGCGCGGTCGCACACGGGATGATAAGGACGGCGGTGATGCCGCAGCGATGAGTCTTAATCAGCATGACCTGATGGACGCTGCTGCTGCTGCTGTTGCGGCGGCGGCTGTGGATGGCGATGATAACGATGGCAGCGAAGGCGGCTGTGGTGTCGACAAGGACGAGGCCCTCAGTGAGGATGGTAGCGATGTCACGAACAGCGCAGTCGTTGACGGGGCGTCACCGGCCCTCCGCAGCCAACGCAGTGGCGCCGATGTGCCAGACGCATTCGACAACGGCAATAATGACGAGGACAACGAGGAGGAGGAGGAGGAGGACGAGGAAGGAGAGAACGACAATGCTGATGACGACGGCGCGGACGCAGCGGAAGGGGAGGGAAGAGGCGACACGGCTGGACGTTCAACGCGCGGTCAACACGGCCGCAAGCGCCGAACACATAAAGCGGAGGACGACGAAGATGGCGAGGAGGACGATAACAGTGGCATGAAAAGGAACGTTGCTTTACAGGGGGAAGTCAGCTACGACACATTTGCCCCGCTGCATTCCACATTCGGCGGCAAGGAGTTTGTGCTTGACGTGGCGCCGTTAAGTCGAGTTGCCGTGGATCGCGACGGCGTTGCGACTATTCCCGATAATCTTTTTGTGGTGAACATCGTCGTGCGCATGCCGCCGCACATCATTGTCGTCATTCCCGACGTCGTAGACGACGCTCTGGAGCAGCAGACGTTGCCCTCGTGGTTGCCGCAGTTTGCTGCAGTGACCTTTACCCGCAAAGCCGATGACGCAACGAGCGGTGAACTCCTCTTTCAAGGCGCCAATGCGAAGATGCGCCACGTCTTATCATTCCTCTCCCTCTTCAATTTGGGCGCGCGAGCAATCAAGGTGCGACAGGCCCGCTCCACGGACATTCGAGACATGGCGAACTGGTTTGGCGTCGAGTCGGCGTACCGCGCTCTCTACGACGAGCTGTCGAAGCTCTTTAAGCGGTACTCCGTCGATCACCGCCATCTGACGCTCATCGCTGACGCCGCCACGCACCGCGGCATGTGGGAGAACTTTAACTTCACCGGCGTCATCTCGCAGAGTGCGAGTCCACTCTTCCAGGTGACGTTTGCGTCGTCGAGGCGGTGGTTGCACACCGCCGTGAGTCGGGGACTGAGCGACGAGCTGCAGTCGATTAGTTCCGCCATCATGGTGGGCGAGCGGCCAAAGGTGGGGACGGCGTGTGTGCGGGTGACCCCAGACCCTGCGGTGCTGCGGGATGTGCTGGAGCATAGTTTTGAGTAGTGCGGGGGACAGCCGGGGGCCACAGTCGGAGGACTTTGCCGCCGCTGCCGTGAAGAAGGTGGGGGGTGCAGGCAAACAAGAAAAGAAGAGGAGCGTAAAACTAACATTTAAAGCTTGGGACAGGAGTGTGTATGTGTGTGTGTGAGTTGTGAAGGACATTTCGTATAAGACGTGAATTGTTAATTGGTGCTCATGTGATGACTGTCGTCGACTCCACGAGGAGCGTGGACCGTTTTGCACGCAATGTGGAAGGCAGCAATGGGGGACACCGAACGAGGAGGGAAGCTCTCGCCAACTCCCACTTTTCCTGTTTTTTCAAGCTGAAGCAAAAATGGCGAAAACCAGTCACATGATTTTATTATTATTATTATTTATTATTTATCGTCAGTATTTTTGGTGTGGTTGTTTCTTTTGCTCTTTTTCTTTTTTTTTCTCACTTCCTGCGTGCTGCGCCGTTAGCACATAAGGGGCAGGGGGCACGGGCTGTGCATATAAATCTCCACATACCCACACATAATCACACACACACACACACACACACAGAGAGAGAGAGATAGAGAAAGCTACGTGACTCTCTGTGCGGTGGGAAGGAGGGAAGCTGTGGCGAATTGCCTCACTCACTGCGCACATGCCGAAACATTTTTGCGCATGGCGGGGACTCCGCAAAGTAGACGCCACCGTCATCACGATGCTGCAGACGTACGTCAGCGTCGTCACTGCTGTGCAACACAGGAGCCTCACGGCGGACGTCCGCGCCACTTCCCACAACGACAGCGGCGCTGGGCCTGCTACTGCCACTGACGCCGTTCGCACTACCACCACCGCCGCCCCGCAGCGACCGGAGATGGGGCAACTTCTGCAGCAACTTTTGTGGCGGGCAAAGGAGGCGCTTCTCATGGGGGCGGCGAGGACGGAGGTACCACAAGGCGCGGGGAGAGGAAGGAAGTGGAGCAGAGAACCGGGTACGTCGCAGCCCCCGCCGCCCCCGCGGATTCACCCCGCGGACGCAACCGGTCTGTTTGAAGTGGAGTGGAGTGAGCTGACTCGGCCAACGCAAAAGGCGCACGATGGCCTTTTCTGCGAGTGCCTCTGAGACCCCAACGCTGGAGGAAAGTATTAGGCTTCTGTGTGCACTGCTTGCCGTGACATTGAAGGCGCGAAAAGGAGCGGCGTCACCGGAGTTTTCGTCGTCGCACGTGACAATGACGCTGCCGCCGCTGAAGATGGCGGAGGCCGTTGTGGCTCCACTGGGCCGCCAGGCACGACTATGGGGCGAGTTGCGGGAGTGGCACGTGCTGCTGTCGTGCGCGTTGGCCACGTGCGCGCGCATCGGGCGAGAATCAGTCACCGAAACAGCACTGCACGCTTCGGTGCGGTTTTTTTTAGATACACTAGACACCTTATGTTTGCCTGCCGTCACGACGAAGCCGCAGCGGCGTCATCACAGAGTTAAGCAAAGAGACGACAGGGGGGTGCATGGTATGGAGGATACACTAACAAACGTTCTGTGGCGTGCGGCACTGGTCTGCCGTGTGATGGAGGAGCTCTTGCAGTCTGAGCGGCGGACGCCAATGGCATTACCTAACGCAACGGAGGGATGTGGGGAGGTGAGGACCACCGAAAATTCACGTCATCTTTCAGGGGTGGCACAGTGCGTCATGCGCGAGCTGGAGAGGCGGGTGTTTACCGTTCAAGAGCGAGATGGACATGCCGCGTCACTGAAGGGCCTTGAGGCTCTGGTTTTGAAGTCATTTCACTGCTGTTGTGCCTCTGATCGTGAGGATCAACGTTCGGCGGCATACAAGGGGGAGTTGGCAGACGCGTTGCTGTCGTTTTGTGGCGCATACTTTAAAATGGTCCCAATTTTACTCCTGGCGAGGGCCGCGGAGGCGCAGGCGGAGGCCGCTGGTGGCGCGGCAAGGGATGACGAGTGCTGCACCGTCACGATTGTGCGCACGATGCGGCAGTGCTGGTTGCGTCATCAGTCCACGTTGAACCTTCACGGCGTTGGGGGCGTCTTCTGGTGGCTGCGGCTGCTTCCCATCGTGCTTGAAGGCCACTCGGATGTAACGGCGCAGCTGCATGAACAGCACCTTTGTGGCAGCGGGCAAACGAACCCCAGGCAGCTGAAGACGGTGCAGACGGAGTTGTACAGCATGCTGAGCTCCATGCTGTACTTTGACGAGGGAGCGTTTGAGGAGCGACGGGCGGCGCTGACGGTAAAGCACGCCGAGGAGGTTTCCGGCGGCGGTGATGCGGGGGCAGATGACGTTAGTGATGCACGACAGCGACGACATCGTGGGGGGCGATCACTCTTTAAAAAACAGGACGAGAAGGAGGGCGTGCTGCTCCCCAGCTCCACGGAGTCCCAGCGGAGTTCCTCCCGCTTCTCCTCCCGTCGGATGTGGGAGACCAATGAGGTACTGGAGCGCCCCGCGACTGGGGCAGCGAGTGACGCGACAGGCAACAGTCCTCTCTTTGACCTCCTCGTCGTGTCGAAGGATGCCGTGTTGCAGCTCTCGGATTACTACGCGGTAGAGGCCTACCACCGCAGCTCGGCGTTGGAGATGATGTGGTTGACGTTGCTGATGGCGCATTGCCGCGTACAAAAGATGACGTTAACACGACGAATAACGCCGTTGGCGCAGCAGGAGAAGCTGGGGGATGCCGTAACTGTGGAACGGGCCACCGAGACGATCCGCAATGATGCCTCCGAGGTGATGTTTCCACCGTTTGTGGCGGCGAGTCTGCAGCATCTTTGCACCACCCTGGCTGCCGCTGTGCGCCGCACGTACGAGATGGCTGGCACGCTGCTCGTACGCGACAGCAACATCCGTCGCACGGTGGGCGTTGCCATCGTTGCAGGCACGCAGGGAACCCTCTTGCGGAATTCCTTTTACTCGGATGCAATTGCTAGTAACTGGTGGTTGCGGAGTAGCGCTTCATTTTTGTTGCAAAAACATGCAGCATACAACCTTCCTTTCCTTGCCGTACTTGAGGAAAATCTTATGAATCTAATGGCGCAGCGAACACGACGACACGGCTGTTTAGATTGGCTGAAGCGTTCCACAACGACGGCGTTGGAATGTCTTACGGCACCTGCGGCGGCTCTGCATCTCTTTCCTGTCACTAAGCAGTGGACGGGGGCATTGATTCTATCCAATCTTCGCGATGTGGCACACTTACTGAAGAACAATGGCAACGTTCACGGGTCACCGACGCTGACAGAGAATGAGCTGAAGGCATTGCGTGCATGGGCATCAAAGACATTTTCATCTCTTCTCTCTGCGCTTACCGCGGACAAGGAGCTGCTGCTTCTCTGCGGATACGCGAGTTTTATTGACGCGCTCTTTGAGCTCCATATTCGTCTGGGGACGAATCAACAGGAGTTGATGCAGTTTGGTGATAACGTCCTGATGAAGCGTCTTCTTCCTGCTTTGCTGCTTGGCCTTGCGAAGAGCGCGGAGGAGGACACACTAGAGACACATGCTGCGGCGTGTGAGTCCGCCCTTTTTGTACTCGCCGAGCTATCACGGTTTGCGTCCTGGCCAGAGCTGGCGCTGTCGGTGGTCTTGCGAAATGACGATAGCGATTTACTGATTGGGGTGGCTGTGTATTGCCTGCGACAGGTGCGTCGCGGGGGCGGGAAACAGGCCAGCGACTACGGTCTACCGACGGCACAGCTACCCCTCATCGAATGCACGCAGGTGCTGCAGTGCAGCGGTAGCGTTTCGTTTTTGCTGCAGCGGGGTAGTGGCTACTCCTACCTGCACGTGCTTGACCTGAGTAACAGTCTGCTTTCCTTCTCACGAGTACAACCGCTCTACAGCGATCGCGAGGGCAGCTGCGTTGCTGCGTTACAGCATTACTTACAGAACGCGCAGCGTGTGTCGACTGCCGATCAAAAGCTACTGTTGGAGGAATCCGTAAAGTGCCTGAGTTTCATGGCGAACACATCTATCAGTGCCCACGTTCTCGGCTACCTGGTTCGCTTCATTGAGCATTACCTGCGCGTGCAGGAGAGGCTCTCCCGTGCCCCGCTGGACGGATCCTCCGCCGAAACAGCAAACACCACGCGGCGCGAGAATGCGATGGCGTCCTTGACGCGTGTCGAGACGGCGCCGTTGGTGCTGCTTGACTACATGGGCTACCTCAGCTCCGCCGGAAGTTGGACGATGGTGATGTGGGCCTTCAACCTTGCTGAAACGGCGCTGAGGATTCAGCGAAAACGCCCGTTGGCAACGACAACCTCCGTGGGAGATGTGGCGACGACAGCGATTCTCTCGCAACTTCGTACCTTGTCTCTCCCGGCCACGCCGCGCCTGCCGCACAATCTTCTGAAGAGTGTTCTCTGCCTCTCAGACCTCATGTCAGAGTCGCCTGTGACACTGCTTGGCTTTGACCGTGGAACCCCGCTACATGGGCTTCTAAGACACGCTACACGTGGTGAATACCGTACAATGTTGTTTGCCATGAAGCAAGCGGTGATTCTTGTGCAGCGTGCATCTGCAAAGTACCGGGCTCCGCCTTTCCAACGCGGCGGGGTGGAGCTCGCCAGGCAGCCGGAAGCAGATGATGATGATAAGGAGGAGGGGAAGGCGGTAGGACATAAGTGGAGGAAAGAATACGAAGAAAATGAGGGAATCATCGGAGAGGGTAGAGAGACGTACTTTACGGCATCGGCCGCCTCAAACACCCCTGAGGCACAGCGTGAGTTTCGTATCTTTCTTGGCTGCCTTGTTACTTGCTTTGACAACGTGCTTGACGTTGTTCGTGGCTGTGCGCTGCAGCAGGACATCCTTGGCGATGAACTTCGCGAGGTACTCCTGCTGGCACTTCAGACGTTGTTTCATGTGTTGCACGGGTGTGTGCGCACCGTTCTTGTCTTGCCTGAGGACATGTGGGACCGCTTTCGTGCAGAACGTGCGTATGTGCTGTGGGTAAGTCTCTGCGTTGCGGGATTGGTGGGACGCGTGGTCTCCATCGACCACGGCCGCGTGTGTTTCACCGGTCACCTGCGACGCCTCACGGAGTCTCTGCTAGCCACCATTGGAGAACTGGTAGAGGCGTGCATTGAGGGCGGCGGCCGTGAGGAGAAGAGTGCAGAGCCGCTTTTTGACACACTGACGGAGAGCGTGCGTACGATACTGAGCGATCTGCAGATGTCGCATCGAGTGGCCATGCGACTCGGCCTTGGCATGCGGCAGCGCACAGACCTCACAGCCATCATCACGTCTCTGCGTGCATTTGCGTCGGCTTCCGCTCGCTACGAGCCTGCTGGCCGTGTTATCCACCGCGTCTGGCGTGTGGTGTGCACGGAGGTGGGCCAGTCAAAGAAACCGCGTGGACGAAAGCAAAAGCAGCTACCTAATGTGAGTCCGGCGGCGGCGCTGCGTGTGCCGTCAAGAGACGAGCTGCAGCTTCTTCTTGAGTCGTTTTTGGACTTGGAAAAGGAGCTGACAAGCGTGGCCTCCGCCAGAAGGGCAGAACACCGATTCGCTGATTTTGTGTTGAACTGGGCGTGCGAGAATACCGCGTCGATGCTTGACCGCGTCACGGAGGACCCGGCATTAGTGCAGAGCAAACAAATGCGCGATGTGGCATTAGAGGGCGGCAGAAGCGGCACCGAGGCGGTGGATGAGTCTTTGCTCGATATTGGCGTTGATACGATGGAGCTGCCGGCTTCGCTAACCACCAGCACGCTTGTCTCCATGGATGCCGCCAATCTCCTGCAGGAGGAGGAGGAGGAGGAGAAGGAAGCAGGGGGCCGGAGAAAGCAGGTTTCCAACGGCGACCTTATCGAGGCACTGATTCGGCAGTGTCGTCGGGTACAGATGTCATCGGTGACACCGGTGATGGTTGACGCTACAGTCTCCATTCCGCAGACCACCAAAGTCCTTGGAACACATTTTAACTGCGTGGCGGCTGTGTTTACGCGATGCACACTGACGGAGATTGTCGCCTTCCCCTACGCAGAGCTAATCTTTGGTAGCCTTGACCTCTTCGCCCGTCGGCGATCCCCGCTGCCGCTGGAGAATTGCCGTGTCTTGTGGGTTCAGCTTAGCCAGAAGTGGCGCAGGGAGTTCCTCGAACCCTACAGTCTCCGCTTTGAGGAGCTGCAGCGCGAGCTCCTGCAGCTGGTACGTCAGCGTCGCTCGTTTGTGCGGTTGGGGGAGAAGGACGCGAACGGCGGCGCGGGCGACGGCCGAGCGACGGTGAAGGCTGCCACACCGCTTTTTTCTTTGCGGGATAATGTCATGGCTCAACTCTCGAAACGCGACGCGACTGCCATCCCATGCGATGCAGAGCTTTCACCCCATGATGATATCAGTGGCCTGCTGGGGGATCGAGTGGGGGTGAGGTCGCGTGGGAAAATTCACCGCGATTACGAGCAGCTACTGAAGCAACATCGACACGCGCAGGAGAAGCCGCCGGTGCCGTTGGATGTTCTTCTCACCCTTCTCAGCGATCTTCCGCGGGGACCGCGTGGTGAGGTGGAGTTGGAGAACTTAGCTAGGGTAGTCACGACGTACGTGGCGAGGCAGTACTTTCTTCTGCGTCCACGAAGGGATGGAAATACGATGAATGTCATACAATTCCTGCAGCAGCCCCACCAACTCGGCCCACGGCTGTACCAGCGGCGGCGTCTCCCGGTGGGCTGCGCCCACGCTACTGACGTGGCGGGGTGGTTTTTAACCTCCATGGATCGCCAGTCGCTCATAAAGGCTCTATCTCACGTATTGTGCGATGGGGAGGAGGTGGAGAAGGCATTTGGCTCGGCAGAGCACGGTGTCTTTGAATATATGCGTTCATCGTGTCTGTATCTGCATCTTCTTGCCCTCACCGTGCACGTTTGTCATCGCTTTCGTTTGCTTGGTGACAGCGAGCTGCGGGATGGGGTGCGGCAGCGGCAGGAACATGGTCGTCATGGACTTGATGAGGAGGGAGGAGATGCGGCCCAGTGGGGTGAGATCGGTAGCCCCGATGCAGAGGCGCGTTGGGCGGAGCGTCAGCTGCGTGCGGATACTCGCCAGACCGAGGCAGACAGTGTCAACGCAAACCTGCTGGAGAATACGTTGCTGCACTTTTTAAACGTTAGCCTGACGCTCATGGATCACGCCGACCTGATAACTCACCGCGCTACAAGCATTGCCACGGCCCCAGACAACAACCATGACCACGCGCGTAAGGCGCTTCTCTACGCGGATGAATTACGTCTGATGGTTGGGGTTACCCTGCAGGACACACTGCGCGTGATTCTCCGGGAGGCTCCGTTGGGGGTTTCACTTGCCCGCCGCGTCGTGCATCGCATTATCTGCAGCTTCTCATGTGACCTCCTTCCCATGTCGTCGTTGAGTGGGACATCGACGGGGAAGCAGAAGGAGCGTTCTTCGCACCTGCCACCTCTTAACACGGTGGTGTTAGAGGCTTGGCGCTCCAAGCGACCGGAGCTCTTTGTCCGCTCCCCCACGCTGCTGTGTGTTCTCTCACCCTCGTTTTTCAACGAGGTGCTCTCGCAACACATCCGCAGTGCCTTGAGCTTCACCCTGACCCAGGTTGTCGCCTCTCTGCACTTTTATCTGCGTCGCTCGGATGCTCATTTGTCGCCCTTGATGGCGGCAACAACGAGTATTCTTTCAAGCACGTACGTGCGAAATGCGGCGCTGCGTCTGTTTTGCGAGGAGCTGTGCAGTCAGATTGTGGAGCGGACCAGCTTCCGCGAGGCACTCGCGCCACCAACGGTGGCCTCCATGCAACAGGGCACGGCTGGCTCTGTGCCTGACGAAGTTCTTATCCCGTTCCTTGCCTCAATATGCCGCGAGGACGCCTTCGTCAGCAAAAATGCGTTGGCGACAGTCCTGCACCGCAGCATGAGCCTTCGCCCCGACGTGTTTGGTCAGCCCCCCACAGTAGACCGTTTCGCCAGGTTTGCCATTGCCCGAAGAGGTGGTGGTGGCAGCGGCAGCAGTAATAATAAAAATAATAGTAATTGTAATAATGTTAATGCCAACGACAAGCGCAGCTCCGCGTCAGCGTTAGAAGGAGGTGTCCAAGGCTGCAATACATGTGCTGCCGCTGCTGCTAGAGGAAGTGGAAGCGGTGGTGGTAACGCGGGTATGGGCATGCGGGAAATGTCGGCCAAGAGTCGATTGAGTTTGGGTATTTTGCATACAGATGTGCTACTCGAGGGCCCCATGTCATCCGATGCGGCAGCGGCGGCGGCAGCGGCGGCTGTGATTGATGCTGCCTCCACTGAAGCAGCTGACGAGGAGGGGGAGATTGAGGCTTTGGGTCGATTTGTGGCGGACCAGTCTGAGGAAACAGCGACGCGTACGCACAAACACGCCCTCGCATCACTCAACCTCACCCTGGCGGAGGTTATGGAGACTGCTATGCATTTTGCGGCTATGCGGCAGGTGTCGGCCGAGGAATACAAGAAGGCACGGGCTATGATACGGGCTGCGGATGATGCACGACATGAACGTATTGCAGCATTTCGCAGTGCTGCACCGGCAACTGGGTTGCTTCATGGCATGGACGCGTCTTCTTCGCCTAACGCTCCCACGGTGGGGTGCCCTGACGCCGCGTTACACATTGAGGAGCCCATGCATTTTGGTGTGGGGATGCTTCATATTCGGTTTGCACTGCGAAAAATTATTCACGTTTCCATGCGTCGCCTGGCGGCCCAGCAGGGGCCCAAAACACTTTCAATGATGGTTGAAATGCTGCGCGAGGTTGACCCCAAGTGGCACCAAAGTCACAATAACAACGGCGGTGAACTTCGTCGGCAGTCGGATAGCATGCTCGCTGGGACACTCCGCGTGCTTGTGGCACGCTCCGTCGTGTGCGTCGATCTTGCAGGGGAGGCAGGGGATCTCCTTGGCGGTGGGGCTGGTGGCGTCGCAATGAGTGCAGTTGGTTTGCAGCGCACCGAGCGGGCGTTGTATTTGGTGCAGCGCGCGAAGCAGGGCTCTACTGGTTCTGGTAATGGCGGTAGTAATAGTAGTGGTGGTACTGGTCATGTTGGAGGGCACTTGGCTATGCGGCAGCGACGGGGTGGTGCGGCAGGAATTTCTATGGCCCACAAACGGTTGGTTTCATGAGGTGTGTTTGGTTCTTTCTGTGTTTGTGTGGGTGCGGAATTAATATCTTTGCCGGAGGTTGCATAATCTCGTGTTTTTTTTTTTGTTCAGTTTTCGTGTAGCCCTTCATGCATCACCGCACTTGTAACAGAACTCATAACGGCCCTTTTCTCTTGTGTGTGACGTCTTTACCCTGCTGCATTTGTGCCGCTCACGTGTACGTTGCAGCTGCCTCACATGACCTTTTTTTTTTTGTCTCGCCCTCTCCGTCTCTCTCTCTCTCTCTCTCTCTGTCTGTCTGTCTGTTTGTGTGTGTGTGATTGGCAAGGGGCGGTGGCGCGTGCGTGCGGACGCGCACATGCCGTAACCCCTGGAGACCCTCTGACTACCGCAACTCCGCACATCTTTTCTCAGCGAAGGGACGATACGGGTGATGCGGAATGACCCGCACTTTGCCCTTATTTTTTTAGCCCCCCCACAACCGCAGTAACAACGCTTCTCTCATCCTACTCTTTTTTTTTTGTGTGTGTGTGTGTGTTGGACAGTAAACCTGAGCCTGCCTAGGCTTAATAGGATAAAAGCAAGTAGTAGAAAAAAAGCAAGCAAATAAACAAGCTTAAAAGTGCTTTCTTTCTTGTCCAAGATATGCCACCGAAGACCAGAGCACCACTTCCACCTGGCAATGCGCAGAAGGGGGAGAAGATCTTTAAGGGTCGTGCGGCGCAGTGCCACACCGGAGCAAAAGGAGGTGCCAATGGCGTGGGGCCCAACCTTCACGCGATCGTCGGTCGAAAATCCGGCACAGTGGATGGTTTTGTGTACAGCAAGGCAAACCAGGATTCCGGTGTGATCTGGACACCGGAGGTGTTGGATGTATACCTTGAGAACCCGAAGAAGTTCATGCCAGGAACCAAAATGGCGTTTGCCGGCATCAAGAAGCCGCAGGATCGTGCCGACCTTATTGCTTACCTCGAGTCGCTGAAATAGTATTAGGCTCCCCGTGCGTGGAGGATCGCGGTAGCTATCGAATGATCATGCCCCTTCCCTCCCTTCTCCCCATGTGTGTTTGGTTATCTTTCTGTTTGCTGCCCTTCCCTGCCGACTCGCTCCACATCTCCCGCTAGCATTGTTCATCCATACGTCTGTAGTATAAAAAGGGATGGGGCAGGGGACGGAAAAGCAAAACACAACGGGGGGGGTGGGGGGATGGGGTGGGGGAAAAAAAAACGTGTGTAAACAACAAGAAGGGAATATATATATATATATATATATATATATGAAAAACTTGTGGATGAAGCAGGGGATACTACTAATACCACTAACTTGTGTGAGCCGAAACTGGAGATGGGCACACGTGTGGGTAGTAATAACTGGGGGATTATAAACTAGCAAAGCAAAACGAGGAAAAAATAAGGGCAGGAACAGAAGAGAAGAGGAAAACAAAATTATGCAACAACAAAACACAACACACACGAAAAAAGAAAAAAAAAACTGTTCGGTTTTGTGTATGTTGTCTCTCCCTGGTGAGAGTGGTGGTGCGGCACGGAGCTATGTACACGGTCCCCATCTGTAGCAATCCCGTGGTTGTGTTGGCTGCGTCTTCACTCTCACTTTCGTCGATGCCTGGATGGTTTACCTTGCAACGCCCAATTCCTGCTTTTTTGTTTTTGTTTTTGTTTTTTTATTTTGTTTACCTCTTTTTTTTTTTTTGTTTGTTTGTTTATTTGGCTCGTGTACTGAATTTTGTTCTCCGCAATAGAAGTAAACCGAAGGTTTTCGTGCCACATTTTCTTTTGAATGGGGCCTTCCATTGTGCGTGGTTTATATGTATATATTCATGACATGCCACGTGCCTCTCTCTCCTCCGATTTTTCTGCCTTTTTATTTCTTGTCTTTTTTTTTTCCCCCACTGTCTGATGTATGACCACTACTGGGCCTCAGTGTTTGTACCCCCCCCCCCCTTCCCTTTTTTTTTTTGTCTGTTCATGATGTTTAACTCCGTCGTGAAACAGCGGGCCTTCGTACTTCTCCTGCTCCTAGCCGCCGTTTTTTTTTATTGTGCCTTCTCGGTATCGATGAGAGAACCGTGGCATCCGAGGGCAGGCTGCTGCCTGGCTTCTTCCAGCTGCAGCAGGAGGGCGCCTCATGGTAGCTAGGCGACTCTCGTGGGGCGACGCACAGGCGAGTGACACTGACGGTGCAGTGAGAGAGGGACTCCAGTACACTGACGCTTTGAAGAACCCGCAACTTCTACCTGGTGTGTGACGGCTGAAGAGCCCTTTTTTGTCGTCAGCACGGCCGTCACCGCGTCGGAACAGTGGGGGCCAAACGTCTTGCGCGGTGGCACACTTGCCCTCGAATCGGGTGTGAACAACCACTGCCACATGTGCCTCCGAGGCCACGAGTTGTGGTGCGATGCCAGTGAGGTGGGGGGACGCGACGCGGTGGAAGTTGCATGCGTTCAAGCAACAAGCGTGTGCGTCTGCAGTCATGTTGGCGGAAAACAAACTATCTCCGGTGGCCTGTTAGTTTGCCATGAAGCGGGCGATGGGTGCGCACCCTACAGTTTTGTTCGGGACGCTGAAGCCGTTGAGGCGGGATGTGCCCAACGGTTCCTCAGACATCTACGACTCCTCTATCATCGCGAAAAGGATGTTGTTAAACTGGGCGAGACTTCCCATGATACAACCAGTAGTGCTGAGAGACGATACATTATTACAAAATATCATTCACTGTGCCAACGCTGAGTATGTGTGGCAGCGCGACTTAATCTCGATCGAGTTCATTGACGACTTTGAGCTTTAGGAAGATTATTGCCAGCCCACCTACCGTGGGTTGCTCCGGCTGGTGATTGATAGCTATTCCTTTGCGGAGGCCATCGTGTACTCCAATGTGGACATTCTCTATACCTCTTTGGAAAGTGCGGTTGATACTGTGCGGCGTGTCGACGAGGTGGAGAAGGTTCACAACCTGTCGTATCGAGGGGGGTTCATTGCGTGACGCCGCATCAATATGAATGTTCCAGCAGACTCGTCCATGGATGAGCAGGGGTGGGAGTCCAGGATGGAGAATGAGCTCAATCCCTTTGGGAATATGTTTGCCTTGGATGCACAGGATTACCTTCTCTTGCACCCGAAACTGTTTAACTGTGGTGAGGTGCCCCCTTTCATTTTGGGCGGCGTTGCGTTTGACAACTGGCACGACCGTACGGGCCGTGCTTTTGGATCTGGCGGGCCAGGCCTGGCAGTTGACGCCACCAGGGTCCTGGTGGCGATCCACCGGAATCACGCGAAGAACGTCTTTGTGAGTTCGTTGAAGCCAACGTCCGCCTTCAACATGGAACTCATGAAGGCCCATAGTGGGGATACCCTACCGTCTCACCAGGCGGGTGCCCCCGTTACGCGCGTTTCTGGAACCGTTGGGGACGCATCGTGGTCGAACGCAGAAGGGTGCTCCCACATTGGCGGGGGATTCCCAACTACGCGACAAGCGCAGTCAACACCACGAACGCCTTCTTCATGTGGCTGGTCGTGCCATCGTCTTGAGCTCACGACGTATTTGCTTGTGTTTCCTCTATTGTTGCTCTTTGTGGCACACCGCCATCTTCCTCGCTACGTTGTTGTTTTGGACTATGTGTACATATGTCAGTCTGTGTGTTTTATTATTGTTATTTATTTATTCTTTTTATTTGCCTTATATATATCGCAAGCTGTGGAAGTAAACTGGTTTCTTCCGACGTTGTATGGTCTTGTTGTTGTTTTTTTTTTTCGTTCTGTTGCTTTTTCTTTAAAAAATAAAGGGGGGAGGTGGTTTGTTGCCTGCTCGAGACAAAACTAGCAAGGAAGTATCGTAACAGCAACGAAGACGGGTGGTGGGGGGCGCAAGAACGTTAAGGTACGCTGAGAGTACAACGTTGACGATAGCGGGGGCAGGAGAACCTGAGCGAGCGCGTTTGTGTGTGTGTGTTTTTTTTTTTTGTGTGTGTGTCTCTCTGTGTGGGTGGAGGGCGCTGATGATGCCCTACCAACATTATTTGCATCGCAGATTTGATATTCAGCTCTCTCCTGTGGCGGCGAGTATCATTGATTGGGCACCGCCAAGCCGCGATGCCCCAGCTGTTTCCGACGTATCATCTAGCTTCCCCTCGTCAGGTGAGGGGAAGACCACCTCCGAGAATGGAGGCAGGAAGAAGCCCTTCCGTGACTGGGGACAAAAACCGGATGACGCAGAAAATTTTGCGCGTAGCTCTCAGCTTATGGAAGGCGGACCTTACGCGACCGAGAGCGGCGCTGCGGCCTCCTCGGAGGCGGGCTTAAAGCCGCATAGCTCAACAGCTCCCCTTGTGTCTGATCGTGGTTCACGGGAAGCGCGTTCCTGCCACAAGACGGCATATCTTCGTTTGTCTCAAAGTCATTGGACGGTGAATTCGTATGCCGCAACGTCTTTGCTCTCTCGTGGAACTTTTAGCTTGAATGCGGGGCTATTTTCGGATTTTGGTGTTGCGCTCGGCGCTGCTTCTTCAGCCGTTGCGTGGCCGTCACCAACGCCACAGTCCGTCGGACGCCTTTGTTTTTACGCGACGGACACATTCCAGTTGGAGTGTATTTGGCGGCGGATGCAGTGGGCGGGCGCAGTTAAGCTTTTCGGTTTGTGGCCGTCGACGGCGCTGCCTGTGTGCGAGCTTACGGGCGTGACCCCCAGAACGGATTGGTGTGTGCAGGCTGATAGGTTGCTCTTCAACTGGAGTTGGTTTTGGCGCATCTTTGTGCGAGATGAACGGAGTTGTCGTTGGAACTCGTTGATCTCTCAAAACTCCCCGGCGGAGCCACCACCTGCGTCGGAGGAGGGGCTTGACACGTGTGGGACAACCGCCGCAAAAAACGCACCACCGCCGACGAAGTGGGCGGCAGCCTCGCCATCGCACAGATACGCTGCCTCCGCCAGGCAGGATGAGAAGCATCACCCACAACCACGTGCGGTGCAGAGTCACCACGAGGGAAGTCTCGAGAAGGCAACAGCTGCTTTTGCGGTTGAAGATGAAATTGCGTACGACGACGACAGAGGCGAAATGCGTGGCGGGCGTGGACGCCTTGGTGCAAAGGCTCTGAACCATGATGTGGGAAAGAGTCCTTTGCACACCACAAGTGGCGAGGAAAACTATAGGTGGTGGTCTCTGAAGGAGCTCCGATGCGGGGCGGGCTTTGCTGTAAAGAACGACCTGGCGAGTGGCGTCAATGTCTACTGTGGTTGCAGTGGTCACTTTGGTAGGGCGCTAACTGTCTCCACACACGTGGACGTACTTCATCGTGCGTGCTGCTCCATTACATCGAACACCAAGTCACTCGATTTAGCGGCCCGCCTGCGAATGAACCTTATCACCTGGCACCGCACCGAGTTGGACGCCGGTCTGGGTTGGCGGCCATTCAAGCAGGTTCCTGGCCTCACGTGCCGGCTGTCTCGTTCCATGGGTCGCACATCTGCCGGCATCACGATCAGAGATATTGGTACTCAGTACAACAAACTGCTTTCCAGCCGGCATGCGAAGCGGGAAGAACATGCAGCGCAACAGGGGCGAGAAGGACAACTGCAGCAGCGACAACATGGACGGCGTGACCCACAAGGGAATTTGAGGGGGATAGCTTCCAATTCAACAACCTCCACAGCATGGTCATTCTCAGACTGGTACGACCCGTACATTAGGTGGATGTGGCGTCTGGGTCGGTCGATTACCGGTTCAGCCTCACTTGCCGCCTCATCGGCTGCTGCGTCTTCCGCAACGGGTGCGATAACGCATGGCCCGGGCCTCCGCAAACGCTTCTCGCAGGCCATGCTATGGGTGATTGAATACGCGGATGCGCTCTTTCGCCAAACGGAGTTTGACCTAACAATGGGTCTGGAGGAGCAGCGACATCATTCAAGAAGATTGCGCTGCTTCTTTGTTCTCTCGGCCCATTAGACAAACCGGATGGGCACGGTGAGGGGGGGAGGGGGTGGGGGGCGGTTGGCTGCGTGGTCACATAAGCAGCAAGATAAGCTCTCCCTTTCCACACACTGCATTGGAGTTGTTGTTGATGGCGGTGACAACAGGGGAAGACATTCAAAAATGAAAAAAAAAACAAGAAGAAAAGAAACAATATAATACTCATAAGGGACGCGAGGGAGGCGAAAAGAAAAACGGGAAATTTGTAGTTGTGGTTGTGACAGGGGGGGGGGGGGTGTTCTGATGTTTGCGTGTTACTCAGTGGATCGGGTGTGTGGGTTGCCTGGATGCATTTGGCGTCGCTGGTTGCCCTCATCTCCTCCTCATGCGCTGCTCTGCGGGTAAATTGTAATGCATTCTTCTACTTTCATGCGGGCCTTGCGGGCCCCTGGCGGTGATATCGTCTGCCTCTTCTTTTCCTCAGTGTTATTGTTATTGTTTTTTTTTTTTTGCTCTTTCTTTCTGTGTATGTGATTATGGCTCTCAGTGCCATGTATTGTTATTGCTTGTGCCCCATCTCGTCCTCGTGCAACTTCCAGGAAGGAAAACGTGGCCGGCACACTCACTTCTTTTCCGTTCTGTGCGTGCGTGGGTCTGCCTTTTTATTTATTATTTTTATCCCGCTTCCTTTCACGTTATTATTATTATTATTTTTTTTGGTTAGTTTTGGGTACTACTTGCTTTTCGCGAGCACAGACACCCATACATATCTACACTCACGTACACACACAGCGCGTGTGGGCGGGAGGTGTGCAAAGGGTGGCCTCCACAGTCTTTGTTGTCGTGCAACCTCGTGCGACGGCGTTACTGCCCTTTGGGCACGAAATACAGGGAACTACGTGCATAATACATAGGGAATCCGCCAAAGGAGCATAAAGGTCGAGTTTAGAAATAGATTGATAGAGAGGGAGGAAGAGGGAAGGAACCACAACGGTAGGCCTTGGCAGCCTCAGTGCATTCCCTCAATAACTAATATATCTTTATAGTTTCTACCAAAAACTGTGCTGGTGGTAGTAGTTGTGGAGACGGAGGTGTATGCAAGCGACATCTGTGGTTGTACAGGACACCAGTGAGCTGAACAGTGAGAAGCAGCCTCCAGGGGAGTGCCTGCAAGCATATTCCTCGACCAGCTGCTTAACACAGGAAATATGCGCTTTAGAAGAGAACGATGCAGGGGCGTCCATAATCCCCAGGCGGGGCTCTATGCATTTAGCGGACTCGATACATGAGGCAAATAACTTCACAACGTTACTGGCGCCGAGTAATGCCTTCTCCAGTGGACCGTTGGATGCGGCGGAAAATGCCAATGTGTTGAGTCATCCAAGCAGCATGACACCCTCTTCTACGCCACGTGAGACTGGCTACGAGTACGTGTTCGGGGTTGTAAACCCCAGTTCGGGCGAAACTGGGATAGTTCAATATGTGTTGCGCTCTATGCGTGAATTGCTTGGGGCGAATCGCGTTATGACGCTTGACGCACCGCTTTTTGCAAACCCGGCCCCACTTGTTGAGGCTATTCGCAACTACGCCGTGCATTTTGGCTGTCAGGGTTCAAACAGTACAGTCATAAGAGGCGGCATTGAGGGCAGCAAAAACGCAGCAGCAGCAGCTGCTGCTGCTTGTAGTGGTGGTTGCGGCACTGAGTTGGAGCGGCGTGGAACGGTCATTGTGTGTGGTGGTGACGGCACGGTAGCCTTCGTCATGGAGCAGCTGGATGCCGTGTATGAGATGATCAAAAGCGCGACGATGGCATCCAGTGGGACTGGAATGGGCCATTTAAAACGGCGTGTCTTGCTCCCTGCAGTGGCTGTTCTTGCGCTTGGAACAGGCAATGACTACTCCAACTGCATGGGGTTCGGCAGCGGCTACTTGCATCACAAGCTCTCGGGTCTCTGCTGTTGCATGGAAAACACCATTGAGCCGCTTGTTCGGCACGCTGTTACTGCGCCTGCGATTCCGTTTGACCGATGGACAGCGCGGCTGGTGCCACTCACAGCAATTTGGGAGCAACAGCAAAAACAACAACAGAGACGTCAAACCCTGCAAAAGTCGGGGACGGAGAAAACAGGAGCATATTTAAGTGTTAATACGCGGAGGGGCGACACAATGGCGGAGGCGGAGAAGAACAAGGGCGGAAGGCATGAAGAACAGGAGGCGGTGACGGCGGACATAGTAGATTTGCGTGCGCTGGACTGGGATGCGCTGGACGCTGCTGGGGCGTGCATGAAGTATAATTTTATAAATTATTTTAGTATAGGCTTTGACGCGTATGTGGTTCAAAAATTTGACGCCTTTAGGAGGAAACACCTTAAGTTTTGCTCAACACGGATGCATAACAAACTCGTGTATGCCACGTACAGCTTGAAGGCGCAGTTTCGTTGCTCATCGCTGCGTTCATCCATCTCCAATGTATGTATTCCGCAGCTGACGGGGTGTGTTTCAAGCCACACCGATGGATCTCAAAGACCCGATGAACAAATACAAGGAAACACATCTATTGTGACCATCTCTCTCCCCAAAAGCAGCAAGACATTGCTAGTCACGAATGTTAGCTCCTACGCCGCTGGAACACGTCCGTGGAGGGAGGAAAAGGGTCACCTGTATCGTGACGACCATGCCACAAACTCCATGGTTATCACTCCTGTGTGCGTGAATGATCGTTTGATGGAGGTGCAGGCTGTCGGTGGTCTTTTTCAAATGGGGTTGCTTCAGATGGGGATCGGCCAGGGCGCCTCTAAACTGGCACAGACTCGGGAACTGTTTCTGTTTGTTCTCTGCAAATCAACAGACATTGCCCGGAGTCCGACGTCACTGAAGAGTGTGGAGACGACGCCGGGAAGGGTGGGGGATGAGGAGCACACACCGCTTTGCATGCAAATTGACGGTGAAGCTATTGGGAGGATTACACACCCGACTGTGGTTTACATCACCGAGTTGCATAAACCTCGTGTGTATGTGCGCTGCCGCAATCCAAGTGTGGTCCGACACCACGTTCAGGACGAAGATCTTGTAATTTAGCTTAGGGTGGATGCTGCCTCATAGGCGCTTGCAGTTCCATGTTGTTGTTGTTGCTGTTGTTTTTCTGTTTGCTTGTTTGTTTTTGCTGTTCCTGCCTGATACTACTAGTACTACCCACGCGGGGAAGTGGGGTGGGGGTGGGTGTGGAGAGGGTGCACTGGCGGTTACGCGGGTGTTCTCTAACGAACGACTGCCATGCTGTGAATCCGTAACGAAAACCCTCTTACCGTCGCCATGTCTTATTTGAGTTTGTTTGCCCCTCTAAGCGTCTGTATTGTTGGATAAATTCAATTTGAAATTCGAGAGTTGGACGCAGATTAAACCCAGCCCCCATCTTGTTTGTTGTCTCTCTCTTTCTCTCTCGTTGACGGAGTAAGGGGGAGAAAACAGGGCCTCCGCCAGGCGCGTACATCTTTCCACTCTTTTGGTGCCATATGAAGGCGGTAAAGGGAAGGACCAATACATGGCAAATCACACGCCTTGGATCTTTATTGTGGTCGCTGGAGTGCCGCTCTTCATGTCATACACCAAGGCGATGCGCATAGACGCGAAAGAAACCCATGAGATTCAGATGCGTGTGAAGTACCGCGCTGAGTTCTGGGCAAAGGGCAACGAATTTGTTCAGCTTCACAGCAGTTATGTGACGAGGCAACTGATGGATACGGCTGACACGATGATTGGAGAGGAATGCACGGGGTCAAAGGCTGATGCAGCAGTCAATGATGTACGACCGTGGTGGCGTGCGTGGGGGTGAACCCGCAGTGACAAGCAACAGCAGTAATGAACACGACGAGGGTGTAATATGTCTGTGTGTGTTGGGGAATAAATGTAGATGTAGCGGGGAATACGAGTATAAAAGGCTCCCACTCTCCTCCTGTTCAGAAACGGCCATGCATGTGTGTAATGGCTCTACCGAACGTGCACCTAGTTGTCTACCTAATTGTCTCCCACAGCCATTCATTTGTCTTTGTGGCTTATTATCATCTGCCTGCTTGGAAGGTTGATGATAAAGCTGGTGCTGTTTTTTTTTCTTTTCGCTATCTGCGGCTGTGTTGAAGCTGGTTATTCACTGTGATGAACACGAGGTCAAAGGGCCGAGTTGTTGTTGTTGTTGTTGTTGTTTCTTTGTGCGTGCCTTCGGTGGGGCGAACGCGAGCTTGGCTACCGCGCTTCGTATGATTTGCACACCGTGTGCAATGGGAGACACATTTCTTGAACGTTTCTATTTCTCTCTCTGAGAATGTAGGAGAAGCAGCCACAGCGAGGAGTTTTTGATTGGAATACAAAGACAAGAAGGGGACGTGCAGAAGCGGTGCGTGTTGGCTGGTATTGCTGCGTGCGTCTGCACACGCGTGCTCCAGTCAGTGGGTGGGGAGAGGCTCGAGACGCCATAAAAAACGCGGAGTGGGGTGGTGGAGGAAAGCGTAAAACACAAAGAGAGAAAAAGGGAGGGAGGGGGGACGCGTGGTGTGCGCGGCGGCGGGAGGAGTAAAAAACATGAGCTGCCGAAATTCCGGGGGGAGGCTTTCAGTGGATCAGCGAGTTGTGGCGGGGAATGATGCGGCGTGGACCTCCACCACACAAGCGGCTGCTCCGAGGGCTCAGACGGAGCGACATGAGGTGTGGCGCGACGTCTACGGCACCCGCTGCAGTGTAACGTCCGCCACCGCAGCAGAGGAATTTAAGATGCGGAGTTCCATGAAGAAGAAAGCGCATGGTGCCAGGAGCTCTACTGCTTGTGGTGGCGGGCTGCAGAAGGCAACAGAGGCGACATTATGTTGCGGTGCAAAAACAGACTTTAATCTCTCACACCGGGAGCTGTTGGGACGTTGCTGGGAGACAACCGATGTGGAGCGTCTCACCGACTTCCTCGCGGGCAACGTCCCGAAGAGTGTGCATGAGACACTGTCGCGCTCAAGTTTTGCTCTACTCCCCAAGCAACGTGGGGGGATGTCGTCCACGACGGTCTCCTCGCCTGATGTGCATACCGTGCAGTTGCTAAAATCCCCCGATGGACGCACTAGCCGTTCTGCACGTAGCAGCACCAGCAGCTGCAGTAGATGGGGTATTCAAAAGCGTTCGCATTGGGTCTCTCTAATCCAGATTCCACCACCGGGCTCAACGCAAAATACTATTTTTTCCGTGCCGAAAAAAGCTGGAGGTGGCGCACGCGAGAAGAAGGTAACCTCACCAGGTTGCTTGTGGTGTGGAGGGGGTACGGTGTCAGGCAAGCTTAGGGGAAGCTGCGGGCGTTTGTCTCGACTGCTTTGCCTGACGCGTCAAAAAATAAAAAATGTTGACTTTGTTATTCCCTCTCCAGACACCGATGTGGCGGAGTGTGGATATGCTGGGGCGAAAAACACATTTGCCTACCGGCTTATAAAGTTGCCTTCAGTAGAAAAAAATACTGCCTTTCTACAGAAGCATGGGCTTAGTCCATGCTTTGGTACCTGTTTACATCGATGGGATCGCGTAGATTTCTTTTCACCAAATATTCACTCTCTTGCCCTTGCTGCGTCTTTGACCCAGCCGAAATCCGTCACAGGCCCCTTAGCGCATGTACTTTCTTGCTACTCCCCCTCCATTAGAGGGAATGCAAGCCCTGACCCGGGGGGTGCCTCGGTTAGCGCGAACAAGAGGGCGGAACCCGTTGTTTTAGTAGAGGGTTTTTCGTGCGTTACCTCACAAACTTCTACAGAGTCTGTGGAGTTCACTGAACATCCATCACGTTTTCCAGAAAAGAGTCTTCATTGCCACTGCCTCGCATTTTTCACAAACTACCTACAAGAGCTTCAGGCTGGTGCGGAGTCTCTCCAGTCAACGGCTCTGACATCGGGTGTCTCCTCACGGGACGTGGAAAATATGCTTGAGGGAACCTCTGGCCATACAGGCGGGCCCCCTTTGCAGGCGTCGTCGGTTCTCCTCGGGAGTTTTTTTCACAAGAGTATTGATTGCAATGCGTCTACATCCACTTTGGCAGCCAATGCCCCTGCTACTCCTTTTTGTCTGTTGCAGACGGAAAGTGATGTACAGAAGATAGCGTCAGGTGCCACGGAGTCTGCTTCTTTCAGTGAAAACAAACTACATTCACCCTTTTTGCGAGATGATGCAGGGAGCGGAGTGGCGACTGCGCGTTCGGTGTTTGAGTCCTGTCAGCCAACTGCGCCTAAGACAGTCCTTTCAAGTGTTATTGTTAGCTCTTTTGAGCTCTTCATTGATCTTGTCAATTGGAAGAAGAGGAGATATCCTCTGTCAGTCATCCCCTATAGTAAAACGACGTCATCCACTCGAAATAAGTATGGGGAGGGCACTGTAACGAGAGTCATGTACGGCGGGGTGCTTGTTGTGGAGTGTAACAATCATATGGCTGTGCAGAGTCTGGAAATGGCGCTTAAAAAGGAGCAATGGCTGGGTAAAAAGAAGAATCTTGCGGTGTCAAGAGAAACGAACTGGTTGTCTCGAGGTGATGGCAGCACTGGTCGCTGTCGCAATGCGGAAGGGACGGTATCCAGCGCCGATTGCATTCGCATCTCGAGCAGCAACGATCCACGGTTTGGTGAGGGTGTGCAGTCTGATGACCCCAAACAACTTGGGAGCTACCGCGTTGTGTACTACGTGGGTGGTGAGAGGGAGCATAGTTGGGACTCAGACTCCAACGTGCAAGGACAACCCCCCACTTTTGGTACCGTTAGCGCTCACACAGGGCACTGTCCCCTAACCCCGTGGTTAGAGCTGGAAAAAGTGGTGGAGCTTGCCTCTTCATGGGCCAGGCGTCTTCTCTCCAACCCCAAGTTAGTGGAGCCGATTGCGGTGTATGTACAACGGTTTGTCGGTATTATTCCTTTTCTGTACTCGCCATACGATAGGAGGAAAGATCCGGATACAAGGGCTGTAGTAACACCTTGTGGCACCTCAAGGGAAATCTTATCATCTTCCTCGGCATCTATTCGTGTAGCTGATGATGAAAACCCAGCTTCCCTTACCATGGCAGTCTACACTCCGTCTGCCCCTAGTGTACGCAATACGTGCCGTCCAATGGCACGCTCTGTAGTGGACGATGCACACTTATCTGCATCTACGCCTACAGAAAGGACACCTATCACTCCCGTTGCGTCACATCGACCGAGGAGCATTGCACGTAAACAACCCCTCACTGAATCCTTGTACGGAATCCAAGGAGCAGAAGCGGGGATAGACGTTATGCCAATTGTACGCGAAGAGTCGAACTCAACATACACCAGTGGTCTTCCTTATGAGAAGGACGACGGTGAGGCGATATGGGAGATATGCATGCTGGAGACAACGGCTCTGGAGGCTGAGCTAAAGATGGCTGTTAAGGCTGCTCAAGAAGCAGAAGAAGAGTACAGTAAAATAATGGGCATCATTCACAGTTTGCGGCAAGCCTTTTTGCCCAATTCTCAATTGGAGCAATTAGAATCAATATGCACCTATCTAGCGACCCTTATTTATGAAACGGAGGAGATACCAGAGCAAAATGCTTGCATTGATGGTCCTGACTGGTTTCCCTGCCTCGCGGCAGTTTTGACAAACCCACATCATTCTCTTCGTGGTATTAACATTCTCTCTCCTTTGGATTACGGATCCTCTCCACAGCTTGGGATGCTAGCTGGTCTATTTTACCATGAGTATGCGATGACCTCTATTACGAGGCTTATTTTACAGTGTGACTTTTTCTTTGCTGAAGGTGACCCGGAAAATTGTCCGGGTCACCTTGAAGTATCACACCGAGATATCGCTTTGTGGAAAATTATATGTCGTTTGTCATCGAAAGGGGTCAATCTAACTAAGCTTTATTTCTTATGCCTGTCGATGTTGCATGCGGATGCGTATCGGCGAGGTCCGCCTTTTTTTCTAACCCGACAGCAGCTGCGAGGGGTGCTGTTCACACTGCTGGGGTCCATCGTGGAGAACAACCAACAACCACAATTTACACTTCAATTGACGGATACCGGAGATCACTTTTGCAAGCGACGTCTATCCAAAACTCGGAGGTTTTTATGTGCCATCTCGGGTATATTGAAACGCAGAACGATCAAAGATGGAGGTGGTAATAATAGTCATGATAATGATACTGTCGGTGACGACGCGAATTGGCTTCATCAGGAGGATAACGCAGTGCAGGGTCGAAAGAGGGATTCTTTCTGGACACGTATGCCAGAGGCGTTACTTGTTGGTGAGGAGCAGGAGGCGGTTAAACGTGCATGGGTTGAGGCGGAGCGCCGGCCTTATTGTATGCTATTGCGCCATCGTGAGTCGGCTGCCCCTCTCTGGTCCGTGCCCTACGGGGCTTGCCCTCACGATACTCATCATGAGCAGGATGACTTAGGCCAAGTGTCAGCTGATGGGAGGCCGTGGGTCTATGGACTTGAATCGAGTAACACACAACTAGCGGCAATTTACGAGTTCATTGTGGATGCGTTTCTCCATTCACACTTCATTGTTGAGGAGATGCAAAAGTTTATTGATCACTACAACAAACGGAGTAATAGCAGGAAGGAATCGGAGGGCGGAAACGTGGCTGGGAAGAAAAGAGTGACACTTTTGATGTAGCTTGCCGCCGCAGCCACACCATTCAAGATGGGGGGTGGAAGGGATGGAACTATGTCTCAGCATCACTGTTGTTATGGCGTGTATTGCAAACCGCAAGGATGAGAAGCCGCGATGAGCACAACAACAACAACAAAAAAAAAATATATATGAGGAAAAACGGGAATTGTTTGGGCTCACATGCATATATTCGCATGTATCCCCCTCTTCTTCTACACATGATGACTTTATCTATTTTTTTTTTCTTTTAGGGTTTTCTACTCATGCAGTTATTTGTACGTTTTTTTTGTCATTTTATTGCGTTGTTCTCCTATGGGTGTATGCGCATGCAAATGCTCTTTGCGATCCCCCCATCTCCTCTGCCTCTTTTATCCCCCTCACACATATACACAGGTGCAGGGTGGGAGGGATATATATATATATATATATATATATAGCAGGAAGAAGCCATTCATGCATGTGAAGTCAACATACATGCGGCAGCCTTTGGAACGCCAACACATGTCGCTGATGAGGTTGCTGGGTACGTGTGCGAGGAGACCACCCTCTCAGCGTTGGTTTACGCTTATTCTGCTTCTGCTGCTGCTCTTGTTGTTGTTGTTTTCGTTCCTTTTGATACCGACACCCTTTCATGTCCCAGGCGGCGATGACTATTATGCCACCGCCGCTGCCGCCACCACTCTCCGTGGCATCACTGTCTATTTTGATGTGAATGCCAGCGATGGTGGCGTACAACCGACGGCCCACACGAGGTACTCGCGGACCTTTATTTTACCGTACGGCGGTACGGAGGAGGGGGGAGAAGAAGTAGGGGGCTCAGGTGATGCTGGCAATGACATTGATATGAAAGTGCAGGACGACATGGGGATGCGGCTACAAGCTGCTGGCTATCGCCTTTACGGGAATGTGTGCCTTGTGAGGAATGGGACGAGGCTGCGACTCCATCGCCGTTTGGAGGAAAAAATGCTGCAAAGAGACGTTGCTTTTATCGTACACGGTGATCAGTGTGACACTGGTGGGTTGAGTCGAGAGATGACATCTCTCTTTGCATGGTTGCAGCAGTGGAAGTTGCTGTTGGAGGGACGCAACGAGTCGCGTCTCCCTCTCTGCACAATGGGGAAAGAAGGGGATAGAGTTTCGTGCACGATCACCATTCTTATTGCTGTGGCCAGTGATGGAAGTGGCCGCTGTATGCGTAAGGATAAGTTGAATTTTTACCACTTTCATCTGCTCCATTGGATTCGTGTGGTGACGGGTCGTTTTCACCTGTCGCCGTGGTGGAGCAATGATGGCAGTGCTGCGGATAACATGGCTAATGCTCGTTACGTGGTGGTTAAACTGTCAGCTGGTAGGACGCAGACTTCAGCGTCGCTGAAGTTGTCATCGTCGCGTACTTTGGGATGTTATTCATATGCCGCGCGAACGGAGAAGGGATCGTTACGTTGGTTTCCCTCCACATCGTTGGCGCACCGTTTTCGTCAGCGATGGTTGCAATACTTGCACCATCAATACAGTCAAAAGGAACCTTTGAGGTCAGACCCAGTTCAGGCTTTCGCTGCCATGTGGGGCACGCAGCCACTTTCCCCAGTGCTGCGCCGTATGATTCTTGGCGCCGTTGTGAATACTACGGCGCCGACGACTTGTTCTAGTGGGAAGGAAGTTCATAGCGTTAGAAATGAGAGTGAAGCAGCTTCCATGCCGTCTGCTCGTCGCCACAGCAAACGTTTAGCAGGGGCTATCAAGCCTCGAACACTAACAGAGGTGGCTTCCTTGCGTGACGCAGGTCCGCTGAGGCTTACAGTCTTGCTGCCTCACGCAACGGAGCAGTACGACGTGAAGAAGCTGGTTTTGTACCTGCACGAGAAGTTTGGGCGGGTGAGTCGCATTCAGCTTCTTTATATTTTTGGCGAGGGACCAGCATGTGCTGACGTGGAACAGGTGGTGGTATCTTGTGTGCATGACGACTATCTTGAGGTGCTGCGGGTGCTGGCGTCGACGGATCTTTTGATTACTCCACATGGTGCGGCGCTGGCCTCGATGGTGGCAATGCAGCCGGGGAGTGTTGTGATTGAGCTTTTTCCGCGTTACTGTCGTTCCTTTTTGTACCTGGAGTTGGCTGTGGCGATGCATGTCGTGTACGTTAGCCACGAGGGCAAGGACCAGGGGGCTGCCAAGGCGCACACTCTGCCTGGCACGGGCGATGCTGAGGGGTCGATGCCGTGGGACGCGGGGGGAAACGCGTCCACGTCTGCGGCTGTGGGTGGTATGCCCCAGCGTCCACTGCAGCATCCTCATCCCGGGGCAGCGTGTCGTGATCGGCGTACTACAGACATCTCCGCCGTTCGGCTTTATCACTTGGTGAAGAACGGCCTCTCGTCGGTGTGGTTGCGCAACGGTCGCTTCTCTGGCGTCATGGTCTTTGACCGCCGTTGAGACAAAATCTTCTTTCTTAACTCCCCAACGAGCAAAAAGTGTGGGGGACGGAGGGAGAGAGGGGGAAGTGAGTTGTGTTACTTTTTAAGTAGTTTCAGCTGAAAGTGAACACACGTATCTTTCTGGCTGGTCTTTTGGTTATTACTTTCGGATGGTTTGCCATTTTTTTAAATTTTTTTCTCCCTTTGCACGTCTGTGAAGTCGGTTCGTGTAAGAAGGACGACACGTTGGAGTGTAGAGGGGCGTGCATGTCTTCGTCCAGTTTGTCATGGGGCGTTTTGGGGGTAACGGGGAGCGCAGCCACGAAGGGTTTTGGTGGCAGCAGCGATTCCAGCCCAAGCACGGCGTCCGAGAGCCCACAAAAGTCAATGCTAGACAGCGAACAACGACAACAGCATCAGGAGGCGAATGCGCAGTTCTTGCCCAATATTCCATCCTCGAAGGGCGGCGAGGTGTTTCTGCGTGCATCTTTTCTAGGGTCTTCAAGCCGTAAAAGTAGTGGGAGGGGTAGCGAGAAGGACCAGAGGTCTCAATTGCGAATTCCAAGGATCGATAATGGACGTGGGGGCATGAGGCAGCAAGTGGCGCTATGTAAACAGTGGATTGAGTTGCATTGCGAGGAGCAGACGAGGGCGCAGGCGCTTGTCAAGGCTGCACAAGAACTCTCCTACGATACCATGGTGCGGTGTGACTCCGCTATTGTGGAGGATGGCTATGAGCAGATGCATCTGCTGGCACGAAAGACGGCCGTTAGTTGCTTTCTTTTGGATGAAATTGTAAAGGCACTCCCACGGCATGAGATTCTTAGGCGGTGTGTGGGTTTTTTGCTTGGTGCCGTGTACGTGTCTGACACGCAGGAGATGCGAGACGTGCTTGGAGGCACAGTGGAGTACCCACGCCTGTTGGAGGATTGCTCTTTAGACCCCACCACCCGCGCGCTGCTCGCCCAGTACGCACGCAAGACATACTTCATTGCCCATCACGAGCTGACGCAAAAGTTGATCGCCCACGCCCACTTCAACGCTTCCCACCTGCAGCACTTCAAACGCCTTCCGCGTGTCTTTGCGTTGATGAATAAAAACTGGATCAAGTCGTTTCTACGCAATGTATTAAAGGCATGGCAGCACATGTGTCGCATGCGGCGACAAACTGAACAGAAGCACCGCGCGAGGTGGGCACGGCGACTTGCGGCAGGGCTCATAAGGGCGGGTGTGCGACATTGGCGAGTGTATGCGAATCTCCGGCTGCAAGGGGCCGCGGCTGCGGAGAGCATGAAGACACTTATTGAAGGTCTAAAGCAGAGCGTCCAAGGCCTTGAGAATGGGATCCAGGTCCTCTTGGAGGAGAGCACGCGGCTAAGCGCGGAAATTGAAGCGAAGGGGGACCTCCACGTCGAGTTTGAGAAACGCATTGCCGAGATGGAGCAGGAGTACAAGGGAAAATTGGAGCATGTGCGGCAGATGGATCAGGTTGGTAGCTGCTTGTTGGACTCGCTTCTGCTCAAGACACCGTTTCCAGCGACGAGCGAGATGCTCTCGCCGCTGGAGGTGCTTGTCCTGTGGGCCAACACAACACTTCTGGAGAGCCCCCTCGGCTCACTCTTCCTCAGTACCACGGAAGGGGACTTTGCAAACTCTATCGACAACGTCATGACGGGTCAGCAATGGCATCAAGTTAAGGTGAGCGACGTCTCTGAGGATGACCTCCCCTTCACGCCGTTGCTGGCGGAGACGCTGACAGTGAACCTGCCGATGCACCGCTTTTTGGCACTTATTCGCGCAATGGATTTTGACGCAGGCCCCAGCAAGGAGGACCTCAAAAAGGTGTGCACCCTGGACATGCGGCTGCGGTCGCTGCGGTCAAGAATGGAGACGCAACACGAGTCGGTGGACCTGGCAGATCCGGAAACGACCGCGGTGTTGGAGTCGGAGACAATCGTGGGACGCACTCTCGTGGACGCATACACAGCACTCACAGGCACCGATTGCATTGTGACAGGGGACCAGTTGATGACACGGAGGCGTGGCATTCAGCTGGTGTTTCTTGCAGGCCTTATGCGGTATTTTTCCAATTGGATGGAGAACCAGGTGCGGAAGCAACGCTCTACCGACGAGTCACAGCAAACATTCGCCACAACCCAATCACCATCTTCTACCAACGTGAATGTGGCGGGAGATGCGGGGAAGGAGAAGCGGGAGGCGTCCACGTCTGAGAATCACTTGGGTGTACGTGACAAGAAATATTCTGAGTGGTATCATCCCCCGCAGAATCACCTTGGCTGGATGGCGAGAGTTGAGAGCCAGCGGCGGTGGATTGCTGCCTCGTTGAGTGCGTTGCATGAGGCACTGAACCTGGCTGTTGAGACTTACACCCTCATCCCGACGGAGGTGCAGGAAGACACACCGGATTTTATGGAAAACGTAAACCTGAAGAGGTTGTCGGACATTCTTCCAAAGGAGGCGATTGCATCAAGCGCCTTTTTTCTTCGTCTCGCGCGTGTTGTTGAAAATGCACTTCCCAAACTGAGAGCTCTCTTCCTGCAATACGCACGAGTAGATCGTGCTGCCGATGGCAGAACCATTGGGCCTCGGTACATCAACTTCATCGACTTTTGGCGTTTGCTGTGTGACTGCCGTGTGATTGGGGGCCCAGGGAAACTCCACCGTGCTGTGGTGCGCCACATCGCTGGGAACGTCTACGGAAGCAACGAGGAAGCTGCTGGTGGTAAACATTCCAGCGGGGGGGGCGCCCCAACGATGTCGCAGAGAAAAGGCCGTTCTGTGCTGCTGTCGTCGGACATTGATGTGAGGGGTTCATACTACAGGTTGCGTTTCGGTGCCTCCGGGTTCATGGAGATGCTTTTGCGCTGTGCTCAGGCGTGGGACAACCTGAAACATCGGCAGATGGAAAAGAAGCTGGAATCCTCTCAGCGGAGGATACTCACAGCTAAGGTTGGTGCCATGACACCAGCCACAGAGGCATCGCTCATGGTAATAGAAGAGGCGGTGATAGATTCTGACGCGGGGGAGGCGGTGGAAGAGGCGAAGGAGATCCATTACGATACATACGACATGACGTGGGCACTGCGCCCAGCTGCGGTGCGGGATTTTTTTCACGAGTGGATTATTCCGCATGGTTTTCGTGGTCCGACGCTGGATCCGTTTCGCCGTGCCATGCGCCACCCCAAGCTGAGGGACCACATTATGGCAAACTTCGATATCCTCTTTGGTTTTTTTACGGCCTATTCGAGTCCAAAGGAGGCATGCGGCTTGCCTGTGAGGCTACCAGATATGGAGACAAGTATGCGGAGGTTGCTGCAGGACAGGTCCACGACCACTCTTCACCTATCCAAAACTGGTACCACTGGCAACTTGAGTGCGTATATACCGAGCAATAATGTAGGCATTGTACGCGTCATGACCGTGAAGGCTGTACAACGCATTGCGGAGGATTTTGACTGGTTGCGTATTCGTCGCGTGACGCCAAGTGTCATTGAAAGAGTTTTTATTGCGGTAAATGCCGACACGGAACACGAGCCCGATGTCATCTTCTACCCCGAATGGCTCGATTTACTGTGCGTCATGGCGCAGTACTATGACCCTGACCCAACACGACCCCTCCATGAGAAGGTTCCCCCCTTTCTGGAGGAGTACGTCCTGCGGTACTACAGAAACACATACTGAGAGGCGGAAGAGCAGGTATGGCATGCGTTCAACGTTTTTTTTTTTTCTGTCTGTCTGTCTGTCTGTCTCTGTTTGTGTGTGTTTTCTTTTCCACATGGATGTGGAGTTTTGTCTCGGATTTTCCACCTTCTCCGTCTCTGAAAGGGCGGGGTGGGGGTAGGCAAGGCAGTTGGAGAATGTAAACAAAGGAAGAAGTGAGGAGTGTGTGTGTGTGTGTGTGTGCGCTGCAGATATAATATACCGACACTTTTTTTTCTCACACCAACTTGTCTCTTCTTTGTTTTCTTTTTTGTGCACGTGCTTTCTCTTTTTTTTTGCTTTTGACAGCCCTGTTGTTTGTACATACACGCGTGCACATTACGGGTGTTTTCTGCATTTAGGGGGAGGCGTGAAACGTAACTGTTGTGGACCGATGGAGGGAGCGGCAGTGCTGACAATACCGTCCGTGCTGGCTACCGGGGGGTATTTGCAGCATTCTCTGGTGTGTGTGGAGTTAACGAACGGCATCGTGTTGACGGGGCGTATTCTTCAAATAGATGCAGTGACAATGAACATGAAGCTGGACGCCATTACGGATATCGCTGTTTGTCGTCGCCGTTCTGGTGCGGAGGGCGCAAAGGTGGAGTGGGAGACGGATCCGGCAGCGCTGCGGTGCACTAGCAGTGTTGTTCTCCGTGGTTGCCACATTCGTTACATGGACTTCATCGACGAAGAGAC